AGAAAATGTTAACTAGGTGAAAAAAGGTAAGATAAACTTTTAAAGTCTTTGCTGGTGCCTCAAAGAGGAGCAGGGGGGAGAGGAGGAAGACAGGTGAGGCTGGTTCAGGAGCCCAGACACACTCGCAACTTTAAATGAACCGAAAATAAATAAACAAGTTTCAATGTTTTTTTAATATTGGATATGGTATGTTCTTGGTTATGGCCATGTTCTTATGATTTTATGATTATTTAAATGTATACAGTTCTGTTTCATATGGGTGTTTCCATAGATCTAGTCTCTTTATTTACCCCTCAAAGTGCACCAGATTGATGCATTTAACTTCAAAATTAAAAAAAATATCTTATCGGGGGGGCATGCCCCTGGACCCATCTAGAGGATATGAGGTCCACCCCCACTTAAAATATGTTGACATGGATAGGTTCCTAAATACATTTTACAAACATTTTTTTAAATAGTAACCCCTGTCCATATGTTTATTATTGGGTAGTACATTTAAACTATAGGGCTATCACTATAAATCAAGCAAAATGGCACAAAAAAAACTGGTAGTGGCCTGGCTGGGAGTATAATGTTTGAGTGCGTGCGTCCTGAAGTGTGGTTTATAGGTTTTTGACCTTGAAAGTTTGATCAACAATAACTGTCGATTTAAGAGGCACAGGATGATTGGCATAATACTATCATGTTTATTCTATTAACATTATATTTTTTAAATGTCAAAGTTATCATCAACGCCTGTATAACGAGACCTATTTCTCTACTTGTATCCTTGCATCAATCCTCAAACTAGGTAAATAAGTCTAGGTAGAACACATTTTTCGACAACTCCATGAGGATGAAAATGCTGTTTTTTTTAATTATTATTACAAAATAAAAGCTTGCCTTCTGCTGCTCAAATATCTTGCTTAAAAAGGTACACACCCTGTGGGTTTTTTACAATTTAATGAGAGTCAGGAAACATCCAAAAGGAAAAGAAAACACAGAAATGTTGCAGCAGTGAAGGTTGACAGTATGGGCAAATATTCATGATGCTGTCAGAAAGCTCAGGAAATCAGAAAAGCATGTGGACTAAACTCCTGCAGCTCTCTGGATCCCCACTGTCCATCACTGCACTCCGCATGACACGTCCCATCAGCTAAACGCAAAGCATGACAAGCAGCCATTCATGAATAACTTACTGCTGTTATATTCAAAGAAAATCAGTAATATCTTTAAAAACTACAAGTCCTTTTATATCAGCTGTGCACCGTTATGGTGTAAATATAACCTATCTACGAATTGGATCAAATATAAAAGTCAGCCGAATTAGTATTGATACTGCAAGGAGACGTATTGTGTGAAAAGAAATGTAAGATGTTGTTTAATTGCTGATATATTTATGATCCACGTCACGTTTTCAGTTTTGGCGGCAGTGCTTCCAGTTTGTCTAGAAGTCTTGTCATCAGGGCTCTATACATACAGAACTACGGCAGATATGTAATATTTAATGCAGCCGAACCGTGTATTACAATGCCGTTATGTGATGTATTTCAAAGAGAAAAGCAAGCACACTCGGAATAAAGTATTATTTTCTTTTTTTAAAAATGTTTTTCGGATTTCATATCGCATAAACACCATATCCCAACGTGCATTGCGGCTAAACACTCCAATCACCGAGTTTAAACCATAGACTGTGGGTGTTTCTCAATCACGAGTACGCTTGCTTGGTAGCACATGTCTGCCGAGCATCTTGCTTCAGAAGCGAGTCAAGAATACTTCCTGACATTCGGAAAACAAAGGGTGTTTCTCAATCGCGAGTACGCTTGCTTGGTAGCACATGTCTGCCGAGCATCTTGCTTCAGAAGCGAGTCAAGAATACTTCCTGGCATTCGGAAAACGAAGTGTGGAACACGCTAGCAAGTGTGCAGGTGTGCGTCATATGAGAGGCCCCGCCTTACATCTTCCTCCACAGATTTGGGGAAATTGGTCCGTGCGCAAAGCATTGTGGGGATTTTAAGACCGCGAAGTCTACTCATGTGCAGACTCGATATTTCTCCAAACGGAGTACGCCGGGCTCGGTAGATTTCCAAGTATACTGGAGATTGGAACAGTACTTCGGCGGCACTCGATGACGTAGTATGCTTGAAATAGTGGCTCTGCAGCAGCTTTACTCACGATTGAGAAACACCCAAAGAGTGGAACAGGCTAGCAAGTGTGCAGGTGTGCGTCATATGAGAGGCCCCGCCTCTACATCTTCCGCCACAGATTTGGGGAAATTGGTCCGTGCGCAAAGCATTGTGGGGATTTTAAGACCGCGGAGTCTACTCATGTGCAGCCTCGATATTTCTCCAAACGGAGTACGCCGGGCTCGGTAGATTTCCAAGTATGCTGGAGATTGGAACAGTACTTCGGCGGCACTCAATGATGCAGCATGCTTGAAATAGTGGCTCTGCAGCAGCTTTACTCGCGATTGAGAAACACCCCCAATATATGTAAGGGATAATGTGCAGCGACGCGGTCATTATACAACTGCATGCAGTTTGCTTTTCAGCCAAACTGTATACAGTTCAATCGACCGGACTTCTTTCTGCAGATTTGAGCGTCCTTAACAACGGTCATAAATCCTTGACAGCGGTCTGTCTGTTCTGGATTAACAACGTGTCACGTGTTCTGAATTGACCAATCAGAATCGAGTATTCAACTAAACCATGTAATAAGTAAGGGATAATGTGCAGCGACGCGGTCATTATGGGTAAAAGAACACCGACAGGCAGATCAGGAGCCCGACGCGAAGTGGAGGGATCTAGATCGGCATGAAGGTGTTCTTTTACCCATAATGACCAAGTCGCTGCACATTATCCCGCTTATTACATGGCCACATTCTCAACAAAGTAACGATATGACTCCCAATATTAATTGAAATGCTTTTATTGTTTTAGAAAATGTTTTTAATGATTAAAAACATAGTTGTAACTGATTTAAAATGACATTCATCCGCTACGAAAAATAGTCCGTTGTTGATGTTTGAACTAGGCTGTTGCAACGGCAGGAACTGCTTCGATAGCAACTAACTCTGTGCATGTTAGCATTTGAGCCTTAGCTGTAATTAACATTAACCTGAACGTTTCCATTAATAGTACAATGTGACATGGTGAATGGGAAATCTTTAGGGATATTGAGATCAACGTTTCTGTCCTCGATCCTCTCTCCTTGCGGGGGTTTCGCAGATGACACATCTGAAAACAATATTGCCACAGTTGTATCGCTACCGCTAATGTGTGTGTAAGGACAGACAACATGGAAAGGCACTGACCCGATGTGGTGCTCTTGTCTTGTCAGTTCAACTAAACCATGTAATAAAAAGGTTTAAACCATAGCTGAGGATCTTGGGTAATCAGTTCAGTGGCTGTGTATCTGTGTCAAGCCCCCAGGAAGTGCACCGGACTCAGATGAAAATATTCGTGCTGGCCAAACGGCGGTACTACACTTCCTTTTGGTTGCCAGGCCCGGAAACACTTTTTCCCATTGACTTACATGGGGAAAGAGTGGTCTGTAAATCGTTGGATAATTTTTTTTAAACTAAATAAACTACCCAGTATGAACACTTGTATAACCCTTATTAAAAACATTCGTTCCTCAAGTTGTAAAAATGTGCTAATAACGTTATTCTGTGAGTTATTTCCCTCTGCATTATGAACGCGCATCTAACCCACGGGACCACGCCGCCCGGCACGTTCATGTTACGTGTTCAGCACTACATGCGTTTATCTTTACCCATGGATGCACAATAAGAACGGACCCATATCGCCTTACTGCCAGCCCACGGAGCTGTAATAATGGATATATTGCACATGTTTGCTGTAATTCATCATTTGTAAAATATTATACTACATGGGCTGTATGATTAAATCTTGTACCGTAAATGTTGTATTAAATAAAGTTAATATTACCGACGTACACCCAACTATGCTTGGATATCACTAGATCCTGTTACAGCGTAATATAAAAGTACATAACGGTTGATGTGTAAATTAGCATAATTACTAGCTAACCGCTAGCTGCTAACTGCCGCCTCGTTAATATCAAATCTATCATAATAACAAACCATTACCATGCTGTCATGAACGTGCGGTGCTGTTACGTGTACGCAAATTGACGTGCTTGATGTGAACGAGCATTTTGGGGGGCATGGTTAAAGTTGCGCTCTCTCAAAAGTTGGGCCATTTTATCATCATGCGTGAATGAGCAACTCTCATAGGAATGAATGAGGCCCCGCCTCCCACGTGTTGCAGGCACGAAACACACTACCAATAGAAATACATTGCTTTTAAAATCGTTCTGTGTGACACGAAAAAAAGGGGAAAATCGTGTTGGTGAACACGAATCAATAGATTAAATGTCGTGACTATAATACGAAATGCCGTGAGACTGGGTTGCAATAATACACCGTTTAAGCCCGGATGCCCCCTCCCCCAGGGGCAGACATGCTAACGTTAATGCTACATTAGCATCGGCGATCTTTTCTACTTCATGCTATCTGCACAAATGGTTAACATTGAACATTAAAAAGATCAGGCAGTTCAGGGAGAATCGAAGGAAGGCAGGCAGGCAGGCAGCTTTGCATGACATTCTTCTGGACGTGTTTCATTGTGGTGATAGTGAGGGTGAGTCAATCCCTTTTTTGGCAAGACAGTAGTGACGGCCATCTTGGTGTTGGTGACGTGTGTTGTGCAAGACCAGAGATGTAGTTCATTGAGCGGTTTCACACAAAAAAAAGTGTTACTTCACAGTTTTACAGAATTATCTTTTAAATTGACAAACATTATATGTGTAATTCGTGGCACAATTCAAACGGGATCGAAAGATAATTTTTCTCTCGCCATTGACTTCAATACATTATTTTTCCGAAATAAGGTCCCATGGAGGTCCACACAGAACGATTTTAAAAGCAATGTAAATAATAACAAATTAGAAGGAAAAACAGATAAAAAAAATTACAGATTTCAGTATTCTGACACAGAACGATTTTAGAAGCAATGTATTTCTATTGGTAGTATGTTTCGTGCCTGCACCAAATAATAACAAATTAGAAGGAAAAAAAGATGACAAAAAATACAGATTTCCACTGACTATGGAGAAATATACCTCAAACAACCCCACTTCAAACAATCCTGTCCCTTTTAATTTGGCCAAAAAAGGTACAGTAACTATATACAATATATTTTATTTTTTAAATTCAATAATTCAGAGATAACTTGTGTTACTAACCATATTTGTCCTTACTTCACTCTTTTCTAACTCCACTAACTGAGCTGATGTTGTTCAGAGGACAAAAAAGACAAGTATGAGCTTCTGTCTGTAGAGAAAATCCTGGAATAGTCTATAGTATAAAAACACAGAAAGTATTATCATGTAACCTACCTACAAACTGTATGCAATATCTAATTGTTTATATAATATAACTTGTTCAGTAATTCACAGATAAACGCTGCTGTTCGATGTGGGCGAGAAGGTAGGATCTTCCTTCTGACGCGTGTCAGGTTCAAGTCTACAATGTCAAACTAGGAAACAAGTGTTATTGCATTGTTAATCTGTTTATTCAATCAGTATGCTCATCCATACTTTTTAAATAAATCAAATAAATGTTTTACTAACCTTACGTTTATCAGACTCCATCACCTGAGCCGCAGCTGTTCGCCACGGACAACAAACGTGAGTACGAGATTCTGACTCAAACTAAAAAGAAATCCACTGCATATACTTCTTCTGTTTCCTTCATGATATTATCACTAATTCAACTTTCTCTTTATAAATGTAATACTTGCTTTTCAGTTCAGAGAATGCTGCCACTCGCTGTGGACACCATGTAAGTAGTAGAAAAATAATGTTGTTGTGTGAACTGGTTCTCCATGTGATATCATTGATTCAAAATTGGAATATTATTTGTCTTACTCGCCATTTGATATCTTTCCTTCTCTTTTCTCCACCACCTGAGCTGCGATTCACTGTGGATAGAAACAGTAGAGTAGGATATAAAATAAGCAAATACAATATGTTTTATGTAAACTATCTGCATCCTGTAAGCTACACTCATCCATACACACATCGATATTCAGCCATTTTATTTTTACTAACCATTATGTATATTTCTCTCTGCTCTCCACCACCTGTTCCCTGCTGTTCACCGTGCACTTAAAGGTGAGCGTGAGCTTCAGACTGACATAAAGCACATGCAGGGTTACCTTGACGACTCAAGGGGATATGCTCCCAGCCGACCTTCAGGACAAGATGGAGATCAGACAGGGGTATCAATCAATGACATTTCCTGCAAGTCTTAATTTAGCTTTTTTTAACAATTCAAATTGTTGCTCATTGTATTGTACTCTTAACACGTCTTGTTCATTTCTCATCCAGAGACACAGTGTTCTGTCCAGGCTGACCTCTGCAAGAGAGCTGGAGAGATGATCCTCTGTGTTTCAGTCTATATAAGTACCGTAAGATTACAAAGAAAAGCATTAGACACTTAAAAAGTTAACATAACGCTGAAAAGGCAAACAATGTTTCTGGAAGTCTGGGTCTCCTGAGGGGGGATGCAGGCCAGATCAGAGCGCTCCACTGAGCACGCTGTGTCAGCATAATCTCTCACTGTCCCTGTTTTGTTGTTGACTTCAATAAAACACCCGGACCTGGTTTAAAGTCATCTTTCTGTTGTGAGATGTTTGTTTTTTAACTTCAGTGATGTTGGGATAATCTGAAGCATTTTAAAAAGTGTATTAACTGCAGGTGTCATACAATATAGTGGCTAAAATGCTGCTAAATCTGCTAAACACTGAGTCTTTGGAGTATTTGTAAAACCCAGAACAAATGTTTTTTAAAGCATATCCAGATTAAAGCTTTGACATACAGTATATCCTGAGAAACAGTCAAAGATCAGAGAGGTAAAATGATGAGAGAGAAGTCACACGGATACACACTATACTAAATTATCTCTACATTTTCCATCAACACAAATCTAAATCTACTATAAGAATCAATCAAGAGATGTAGAAATGTAGTTTACACATACCTACCAGTATAGTGAGGAAACGGCTCTGACAGGCTGTGGTATGTTGAGATATCACAGCAAAGGTTGTTGGCCTGACCCAAAGCTGTTCACAGTTTTGTGTAATATAACATTCATTAATTAATTATCCAGTACTTTTGGTTTAAACGAGAAACAAAAAGGATGCCTTCTGCACACATGCAATAAAGTGTATAGCCACCCGAGGATGTGAAGATGTTATGATCATTACAAAAAACATTGTAAGAATGAGAAATGTAGAAAATGCAGGGCTATTCTTGGATAACACAAGGCAGGAAACAGCTGAAAAACAAAGACAAAGTCTGACCACAGGGTGGCGCCAGAGGGACATGTGGTCACAAATTCATTTCAACAGTGTGTAGAGAAATACATTTCCTGCCTAAGGAGATCCATATTATGCCATCAGCATGCTGAGTGTTTGAAAGGGGTTCATCAGTGGAAGACTGACTAAACAAAGAAACAGGCAGGAAGACTGCAACACACACTTCCAATAACATCTGGACGTTTGTATTTTTAAAAATGAATCATGTTTGTAAAATGTTACCTTATTCGACACATCAGCAATCCTTACAGAGGTGGGAGAAGTACTCCGATCTTGTACTTAGGTAAAAGTAGAAGTACCAGAGTGTAGGAATACTTTGTTACAGTAAAAGTCCTGCAATCAAAATGTTACTCAACTAAAAGTACAAATGTATTCACATCAAAATATACTTAAAGTACCAAAAGTAAAAGTAGTCATTGTGCAGATTGGTCCATTTCAGAATAATATATATGATATGTTTTATAATGATTGATCATGAAAGTGTTCTCAAAGCTGGTAAAGGTGCAGCTAGTTTGAATGACTTTGTATACTGCAGGGTAGCTTGTGAATTTACTCCAGGTGGAACTAAAGTTAACACTTGATTATATTTCACATCATTAATCTAAATCTGTAAAGTAACTAAAGGTATTAAATACATGTAGTGGAGTCAAAGTACACCATTTGCCTCTGAATTGTAGTTGGGTAGAAATACAAAGTAACATAAGTATTTGAGTAAATCTACTTAGTTACTTCACTGAATCCTTCAGCTTTAGGTAAATGTTGCTGTCAACATTGACCTAAAGCTGAAGGATTCAGTGAAGTAACCAAGTAGCATATTGGAATTAAACTCGTTATATAGTGCTTTAGGTCCTAATTGAATCAGTGCACATCTCCTACAGTACATGATGCCTCACAGTCCCCCTGGTGTTTGCACTGTCCTTATGCAGTGTGGTATTCATTTACTGCAAAGGATGAAATGAAGACAGAAGAACCGTTGCTAAAGAGCATTCGTTTATTTTCCACAGGTTACTTCAGAAACAGGTAATTATGTACAAAATCTGGAATGTTGGATAAATGCATTTCAATCATCTCACTGTTTCCAGAGAAACCTTAGAAATACTAGCTATACATTAAAACCAGTGCCTCTGCATTGCAATTTATTGCTGGTTTTACAATCGCAAGTCACTAATGCCGTCATTAATTAATTTCTCAATTTTTTAAGATATTTACAATTTGATTAGTAAGGTCTAAAAACCAAAGAAGGCTGCTGAATAAATAAGAACGATACGGGAGCGTAAGAAACGAGCGACATGAATGAAGAAATGTTTTTATCTCCCTAGATTGTCTACCATGTCTCTATGTTTTTTTGCCATGAATATAAAGTGACCATTACCGCAGAAATCCCCTCAAAGTCAACAGAAATCACCAAGAAATTAATACAAATAATAAAAACAAATCATCTGTGTGAAATACTACGCTCTGTGAGACATTTAGGAAATCATTTCATTTTCATGTGGATAAAATGTACAAATTCTAGATTCAGTTAAAAAAAATTAAGGGTACAGCTTCACTTAGAACTACCTTTAAACATTTTGACTATTATATAAAAAGGTATATTTCATTTTGTGAACTACCAGTGTTTAAATTTGGTTCAACAGTGCCACAAGCATAAAATATAAATCTATTTAACTACACATGGGATCAGTAGAGGCCACAATCTACTGTAAACAAGTTATGGGAATGCCATGTGCATTAGGATAAAACATTACATATTGTACAAATAATTCAGTGGTCACAAATGTGTTGTTGGAATTGAAGGGGCCATTATTTAGTGACTTTTATCATTCCCATTTGTTGTGGAAACACGTCTCACTCGAGAGTTATTTACCAGTGAAAGAATATTAACGGAGATGTGCACAGAGAATATGAAGTGACATAATGCTGCTTTTACACATAACACATTTTCCTACATGTGACAAACATTAGGAATGATCTGAGATGCAGCTTTCACTCAATTCGATTTTTAAAGTGGATTATTTTTGCACAAATGAACGTGAGGAGCTATGGTAATCTAAGAGACAGTCAAACGCATTGGGCAAAGTGACACCATCTTTCACTTTTACACAACGCAGAGAAATCTTTTTTTAAGCACTGTTTATATTTCTTGTGCTATGTCATTAGAAAAAAAACATGTTTTCACAATATAAAAATTATGTAAAATCATTGGTGATTACTAAAGATTGTGTTTAAAAAAATGCTATCTCATGATCTTTTTGAAAATAAAGGCTTTAGTATTGCTTTGAAGCCATGATGCTGCAAATGCTGTGATTATGTGAGTATTGCTCGGGTTCTGGGGTCCTCCCCTGCTCAAACAGTTCCAGGTCTATGGCACTTGACAACTTGTTTCTCCCAGCTCTACTCTCTGTACAGCAAAGAAAACATATTGAGAAACGGTTCCGAAGTGATGAGTAAGAAGCGTGATTAAAACATCATTTCATAGACACAAAAGGCAAACTGTGGTCTTCTCCCATGTAGAAACTGACAGATGTTGAAACTCCGGCAAAATAAAACGTTCATCTCCCCAATGGCTGCCTGAAAGATGAAGCCCTTAGGAAATAAAAACACATGAGTGAAACGTTGACCTGTTCTTATTCAAATATCTTTCCAATATCCTGCACTCTCCCTGTCCACAAACTTGCTTTGGTTCACTAGCACAACCGCCACGTCTTTCTACGCTTAAAGGAAGAGTTCCAACATTTTGGGAAACACGTGCAGCTCTTTCTGGCGTACGGTCACTGCAAGTGCTTCAAACTTCTCTCAGAAAATGTCCCAAAATGTTGAACTTCAGCTTCAAACAAAAGCTTCTGACTATCTGAACAGATTAAGGCTGAGCTAACACCTCCCCTCTCCCATTTCCCCAATGTTTGAATTTCATTTTCCAGTCCTCTGAAATGATCGAATGCATTTCTTCAACACCCGAGAAGCTGTGATTCATTCATATTGCCAAGGATTGTCTTCCACACAGCGCAGGTAGTGGTGTGTTGGGATGGTGTGCAGAGCCGTGAGGATATTCCTGTGGAAGTGTCGCGTGTTCACAGGTTTATGGAAGCAGGGCTGGATCCTCTTCTCTTGGATCTTGCGAGAAGAGAAACGATATCTCTCCGAAAAACAAAATCAAATCACTTCCTCGATCTACATTCGTCTCCACAAGAAAAGCACGTAACATCGTCCTCCATAAAAGATCGCAGGGCAGACCAGATTTCAACATCTTAAATTAAAAGTAAAAAAAAAAAAAGGCGAGGGAGTGGTCAATTCATGTCAATCTGCAGAAATGAAACCTCATTCATGATCAAGGACTTGTGAGTTGTGGACAAAAAGAAGAACAACGAAAAGATGATCTGTACAGAGACCACAGTAATTATTTGCATCAGGTCACGTCTTCAGCTTCTTTTGTATAAAAATATATATACCACAGTGATGGCCTTTTGAGGACTCGTACTCGTTTCACTTTGATCCACTACATTCAGTGGTTTTCCCCGTAAATCAAGGCTCTGCTATAAATAGTCCCGACAGGTCAGTGTCCTCTGCGTACAAAAATATGAGAGTCAACATTAATGTCTCCGTTTGTCTCGTGTCCCTCAGCTTCAGAGGTCAGGTTCAGTCTATGCCTGCGCTTCTCTTACGATAATCATATCCACAGTGTTAGGAAAAGTCTTCAGGAGGGCCACTGCGTTCCCGTGATCGATATTCACAAAGCTGTAGCCGTTCGCCTGAAAGAGACAGCATTTTGGTTAACATGGAGAACATCTTGATAAAGCTTTAACTAATCGCCAAGAATGTAATGATATTTTTGTGATGTTTTGTCAGATGGCAAAATACCTGGAGGATTTTATCTCCAGGCTGAAGAATCTTAGATGCCGGCCCCTCAGGTTGAACCCTCGTCACAAATATACCCTTAAATCAGACCCACAAAGGATCATTGTTAATTATGCAAATCACACATCAGTTTCTTCTAAAATAACAAATCATTGAATAAATGGCATTCTTTGAGTATGGTATTATAACATTTTGACTTACATTGTCGTCTGGGCGAAAAGGATTTCCCCGACCTGCCACTCCTCCTGATATACTGAAACCAAGCTCTGGATTTTTCTCCACTTTCACACGAAACTGAAACCAACCCACATTAGTCATTTACTGTTAATTACACAATTGACCTACAGTATGCTTGAAAAACCACACAGGAGGTCTTTTTTAAATGACTTGACAGCTCTTTGTGAAACAAACTCTCGGAAATGAACATGAATATTTGATTCTTACTTACTTAAAACTCCCTTAAAATAATAGTTCAGCCTTTTAGCAAGAAAGTCAATATGCATTTCCTAAGTTCCTAAGAAGAAGTTGCATATCAGATCCACTAGAGTATTAATATTCTCTTCCAATGCTCTGCAAGAAAGTAATCAAACATCAGACTGCCTCAAACTGTGGAACTATTCTTTTAACCAAGCTTCAGCTCAGCCAATAAAGAAATCTAATAAAGAGTATCATAAAAATACAAAACACTTTTAACAGTTCAGTGTTTCAAGTAGTTCTACCCCATGCCTCACCTCTTGCTGCAGAGCGTCAGGCGGGATACGCGGCGGCCCCTGGGGCGGCCCCTGGGGAGGATGGGACACTTTGAGCATCAGGTAATCAATGAGCTGCTCTCTGGAGGGGTGACGGGCCATGGACCCCTGGCTCGCCTGAGGACGGACAGCGGGGCCCATCTGACCGTTCATCAAAGGCACCTAGGAAACAAAAACACATGAGGTTGGGATTGAGTTTTTAAATGAGCACATTTTACCACGTCTTGCTCTGCAGCCAAATGTCTGTGTGTGTGAACCTACTTTTCTGTGAGGGTCCATGGTGTAGCTCTGCTGTCCTTGGGGAAACACATCGTCCTGAAAGGGCAGACAGTGATGATTATTAACAGTGCCCAAACCCCACTGCACTGAAACTCATTTACAACAAGGATAACAGGCAGGACAGACGAGTACACACTGACACCAACACTTCTTATGTCTAGTGATGACATTAGGTCGTGAACGAAGGAGGTGAAAGGGACACAGCTAATTAACATTAGGAAAAATGAGATTAAATTGTGCACAGTCTGAGAAGCGTGTAATTCTAAATATTGGCTTACGGGGGAAAAGGAGAATCTTAAATGTTAAGTAAGGAGGGGGTTACACAATGCTCTTATCTTTAGATTGTGTCAGAGCCTCTTATTCTCCTCTACAGATTCTAATACCCACTTTCTAGTCACTCAAACACACACCTCTAACCACTTACCTTTTGCAAACACAGATTTCATCCCCACACACTATGTGAGAGGATGTGAAGTGAGTCTGAAGTGACATGGAGTTGAAGTGAAGATGAGGAATGAGCAGAATAGGGATATAAAGTGCAGTTAGAAGGAGAAGAAAATCACGGTTGTTTGAAGGATAACGCACACCATGATGATTATGATGTTAGAGCACCTGGCTGGCTTAAAAGGGGGTGTTTTGTACCATAAATAAAACAACATATCTCTTTATCAATTTAGACTCTAATTAAGGAAGAGCCTCTTTATAAATAAGATGCTAATGCTAAATTGCTAAAAAGCCTGCTTCAGTTTTGTTGCCAGGTACATTTAGAAACAAATACTGCTGTAAATGTGTCACTAGATTTACTCCAATGTTAACTCTTTGCAAAAACAAGAGACATACAAATCTTTCTAGATGACTTTAATGGATGTGGTCGACAACACATTTTGCCAAACAAAAGGAAAATATTTTAGATAATTACTTGAAAATCTTAAGCTCTGCAGCATCCTTCATCCATTCAGTGTGACTTCAGCAGATACATCTTTCTCTGATTCTATCATAAAGTATAGTTAAGCCTAGGAGTCAATTTGATGATGGTACAAAATATAAGTAGGCCCCTTTTAAACAAGTCAAACTGCACTACAGTAAAAGGAGACACACAACAAACCACCCATTTTACACTCAGAGGAGACAGTCACGTACTAGGAAGGGTCTGTGTTCATGAGAATCAGACGTTAGGAGAGACATTATACTTTCACTTAAAAAAAGGACAAGTGAAAGATTCTGAGGGTCAGTGATCACTTTTCAACACCCAGGAGAGAAGGAAACAGACATTACTCTTCTTCTAAAGGATGTGAAACTAGCAGGAAGCCCCGGCTGGTTACGAGCTGCAGGAAGGAGCTGACTTCAGGTCACAGTACTCACACAGAGGCCCAGCGCTCCGTAGGGCCCTCCGTCCCTGGCACTAAACACCAGAGACCCCTGGCTGGCATGCATATCCCTACAGCTGCCGTAGTGAGACCAGCTCAGCGGAGCGTTATTGGAATTATAGGAGCGAGACAGCGCGTTCTGAACAGAGGGACGACACGGGACAACCGGCAACACGGACATGTTAGCCGAGACCATGCATCCACCACACGAGTGATGACATAAAAGACACAACAAAAAGGTTTACAGCTTATGAAACACACACATGCAAGGAATCAGAAATATTGTGCACACGGCTGGGTTAGTAGGCTTTGGTAAACTCCAGACTCCATGTTAAAAGGTTCATCCCATTTAAATATCCACATATAGTTTTCGTTTCGTTTGCCCAGGTTTGAGACCCCAATAAAGGAATAGGTTCTGATAGCCAGTATATCTTGGATTTGTTTCAAGTTGGTATAATTCTCTTCTGCTCACCAACCCCTTATCAAATCTTTTATATCTCTTTTGCTTTTTTACTTTGAGATGCTTTCATTTCACCCCAAACCAACTACCTTTGAGCACCTGATAAAGCGCATGAAAATAAAATGGTTATGGTTATTATTATTATTTGGTTTCAAAACCAAATCCATGAAACGGTATCCTTGTTGGGCTTCCCCCTAAGGACAATTTTATTCGTGCTGTTGGAGTCATCATTGTAATCTACAGTCCATATGTTAACCTTTACAGAAACAAAACAACTATTCCCGTCTGAAATGTATTCACTGACATTTCACATACCACAGCAGTATTTTTTTTTACCTTTTCCATTTTCTTGTACTCGATGTGCCGCATCACCTGGTCTCTCCAGTCATTTGGCACCCTTCCCACCCCGACTCCCCCCGGCACCTGTGCTGGCCCGTCCAGCAGCGAGTGCTCTGACTTCACCCTGGCGGCGGGCCTCTTGCTGGGGCTGCTCTGCTGGTAGTTGAAGTCGCTGACGGACATGGTCCTCTCTGGAAGCTCGTGAGGCTGCGGCCGGGCGCAGGGAGGCCTGGAAGATCCCGGAGAGTCGATGCTGTAAGTGCGCGCTGAGAGGGGCCTCTGCATGGCTTGGCTCATCGCCAGCGGCCCCCTGGCGAGGGTGTGGATGTCCCGGTATGTCATATATTCCCCGTCAGGCACCTGTATGCGTCTGGGGTCGCCCATGGAGGCGGTGGAGGCGGTGCTGCTCTGCCTCTGCAGAGTGCTGCTTCTGCCCTGGCCTCCAGTAGAATAAGCCCACATGTCCCCGGAGGGTTTGGGAGCCCCCCTCTGCTGGGGCTGATGAGGGTAGGGAGGGGCTTGGTTACGGTTTGAGTAGTTGGTGTTGGCTAGTGAGTGTGGAGGAGGAGGGAGGTAGCCTTGCTGCTCAGGAGGTATGGGCGTCCTCGGGGCCCACAGACCCTCTTTAGGCAGGGCACTGCTTGAGTACTGGATGTTGTACTGAGGGGGGGGGAGGCCCATGGCCATGCTGGAAGACACGGGGTATCTGCTGGTGCTGGCAGGGGGCTTGGAGGAGGAAAGCAGGTCTGAGGAGGAGGCGGAGGAGCCGGGGTAGATCTGCAGAGTCTGGTCGTTGAGTAACTGACTGGCCGACTTGCTCCTGACGATGCTCTGGCCCTGAGGGGCCCCCGGTCCCGGGCCGGCCCCTGCCATCCTGGTCATGCCTGCTGTGTCATAGCACTCATCGCCCCCATCAAAGGAGAATAGCTTCAGTCCTCCTGATTCCATGTTGCTTACACTTTGACACTTCATCACCTGCGGGGGGTTGCACCTCTTCTCTGGAGACAGTTCCTCAGTGCTTCGAGAGAGAGACATGTCGCTGTTGGCGGTCGTTCCTGTCGAGGCCGAATGCACCGCAGACGTCTCCACTCTCATCGCTTCGCTTTTGTTCCCCAGACTGTTGATGCAGTCACTGACCTGCTGGTTTCCATTCAGGAAATGCTCCATGTTGTCATTGCTGAAGCCCTGCTTGCTGTCCTCTGGATTGACTGAACCATTCTTGGTTTGGTCCACATCGTCCAGCCGCACCATGTTGTCCGTTGGTAATTTGGACACGTTCATATTGATCTGGTCCCACTTGGTGTACGTTTCTCCCATGCCGTTGTTAATTCCCTTCTCGATGAAGGCCAGCCTGGCTTCCATGGACAGGTCATAGTCCCCCATTTTCTCTGGTGGGGTCTGTTGGATTTTCAGAAGGGCTTGAAGGGATGTTTCAGAGCCATTTCCATTATGGAGGAGAGGGGTGGTGTCTTTAGGCTGGTTCATGTTCTCATCATCATGCCTAAACCAAAGAAGTAGATACATCAGGTTATGTAATAACGTCATGAGGAATACTCTCGTCTGTACTGCTCTTCTGGGGTATCCCTTTCCTAAAGTGTGTTCTAAAGGTTTGTGTGCATGTAAATGGTAAATGGTCTGCAAAGGCTAAAATCCCACCAGAGGGAGTTTCCCGCCCCCCCCCCCTGCCTGAAACGCCTCCGTTGGACTCCTTTGTTTACTTCTGCGATACAGGGACATCACTACCCAACACTCTATTGGCTAGCTCTCCAACACATTGTACCTGATTGGCTAAGGGACGGGACATCTCTAAGCGGTTGACCAATCACAACAGAGCCGGCCAGCTAACCAATCAGAGCAGACTGGGCTCTGGTTTCAGACAGAGGGTGAAAAGAGGTGCTGCAGCACAGGCAGTATGAGACAAATAAAGAGCTTTTTGAACATTAAAGCATGGAGACATGTCCCAGTAGAGACACTACATACTGATATACACCTGAACATCAGCAGGAGAGGACTCTTTAAAGTAGAGACACTACATACTGATATACACCTGAACATCAGCAGGAGAGGACTCTTTAAAGTAGAGACACTACATATTGATATACACCTGAACATCAGCAGGAGAGGACTCTTTAAAGTAGAGACACTACATACTGATATACACCTGAACATCAGCAGGAGAGGACTCTTTAAAGTAGAGACACTACATACTGATATACACCTGAACATCAGCAGGAGAGGACTCTTTAAAGTATAGACACTACATACTGATATACACCTGAACATCAGCAGGAGAGGACTCTTTAAAGTAGAGACACTACATACTGATATACACCTGAACATCAGCAGGAGAGGACTCTTTAAAGTAGAGACACTACATACTGATATACACCTGAACATCAGCAGGAGAGGACTCTTTAAAGTAGAGACACTACATACTGATATACACCTGAACATGAGCAGGAGAGGACTCTTTAAAGTAGAGACACTATATACTGATATACACCTGAACATCAGCAGGAGAGGACTCTTTAAAGTAGAGACACTACATACTGATGTACACCTGAACATCAGCAGGAGAGGACTCTTTAAAGTAGAGACACTACATACTGATATACACCTGAACATCAGCAGGAGAGGACTCTTTAAAGTAGAGACACTACATACTGATATACACCTGAACATCAGCAGGAGAGGACTCTTTAAAGTAGAGACACTACATACTGATATACACCTGAACATCAGCAGGAGAGGACTCTTTAAAGTAGAGACACTACATACTGATATACACCTGAACATCAGCAGGAGAGGACTCTTTAAAGTAGAGACACTACATACTGATATACACCTGAACATCAGCAGGAGAGGACTCTTTAAAGTAGAGACACTACATACTGATATACACCTGAACATCAGCAGGAGAGAACTCTTTAAAGTAGAGACACAACATACTGATATACACCTGAACATCAGCAGGAGAGGACTCTTTAAAGTAGAGACACTTCATACTGATATACACCTGAACATCAGCAGGAGAGGACTCTTTAAAAGGTTTGTAGAATCATACAAACCTGCTTTTTGGCAGGAAGGGCATCTTTGCCTCTCTCTCGGGGGTGCACAGAGAGTTGTCCTGACTGCTGTCTGTGGTCAGAGACACTGAGTCCGACATGCGTGATGGAGATGAACAGTTGCTGTTGTTCTGGTTGCTGTTGGCAACTGTATCATCCAGCAAAGAGTCTGCGTCATCTGTTAATCAGAAATATTGCTGTTTGTATACTGTAAATGTAGTAACTGTCACTTTAAATACATATTTCAAATAAAAAAACACTTACCTTTTTTCTCCTTACTTAGAGTCACCACTTTAGGCTGGTTGATGGAGATCTCAATTAGAGGGGGTCTCATCTGAGCCACTTTCATCTCTGTCTCTTCATCAGAAAGCTCCTCAGAATCCTGAGTATAAAAACAATAATTTAAAAGTGTATAATGTGTAAGGTTTGGTACCGAATTCCAAAATTTAGATTCCTTCGGTATCGTTTAGAAATGTTAATTTCGGTTCTGCTTATTGATATGTAGGAAAATATAGGAAATGTATCTCGCTGCTTTCTGTACTGTTAGACGGGGGCGAGCGGGAAATGTAGCGAGCACAGTACCAGGGTTGGGAAGCAAAACTCGGTTCAGAGTAAGAACAAATAACAATTGTCTGGTACCGGGATAATAAGAGTTATGAGGACAGGAGGCCGAGCCCTTTTTCTCTTTCTACACACAGCTTCATCTTTATCAACCTATCTAATGGTCTTTCTCTCATACGTAATGAAGGTTATTAAGCATTTTAGCTCCTATGTTGTAATATTGACCGCCATTTCCTCTATGAAGTAAAGCAGCCTCCGTCTGTCTGTGTCCTCACATCCCCGAACTGTGAGACAGACTCGGAGAAGCAGAAGGAATCAGAATCAGATCAGAATATCTTTATTCGTCCCACATTGTTTATGCTGCATGGTATAGAAAGTACATTTTTGTAATGAAAATAGGATTTATAACTTTCCAAACAGTGAAGCAGTTGGGCAGCTGTAACATATGTATTGCAGTACATGTTGGACACTGACTGTGGTTGGACTCTGTGTCACACAGGCAGGTTGCAGTGTAACAGCAGAGGAGACTGGGGGAATTTTACATTTTCAAATTGCACCACTTAGAACTAACTTGTGAATGCAAAAACAATACAGAGATGATTTTAATATAATTGTAATCAATAACAGCAACTAAAGTATTAAGTCATTTGTAAATATGAATACAGATATGACTAAATGTTTTCATAAATATATTTTTCAAAATATATAAAAAAAAGCAGAACCTGAATCAAAAAATCCCAACGATACCCAACCCTAATAATATGCTTGTTGAATTTGAAATTGGGAGGATGAAACAGGTAAAAGTACCTCCAGTGTGTCCTCATGGTTCATCATAGAGCCCCCTGCAGTTTTGAGAGGGACTCTGTGAGAGCTGTAAGAGTCTGAAGTGTCTTTCCATTCTGTGGAAGAGGAGTTTTGGCCATATGTGATGGAGGGCTCAATGTCTGATACTGTGCCATTGGGATAGGGAGCTTCAATCACCTAAAAAGAAAACAAATGTATTACAAATATTCCTTCACCTGTGTATAGAATGATCATTTCTTAAAAGGGGAACTTAAAGGGGAACCAAGATTTATTTCCAAGTAAAATCACATTTGGCTGAAGCTGACCTTAACTCCCACGTCCTGCACTCCAATGTGGTTCCTCTCCACTGGTTTTGCATCCCTCCCCGACTCGTCACCTGACTCGTCCTCCTTCAGCCGGTGAGCCACAGACTGGGCTGTCTTCACCATGTTCTTCAGCTCCTCTGGGTACGGAGTGGGGTAGCGCTTCAGATTACCCTCCTGGAGGAGATCAAAAAAAAAAATCACTCAGTTGGAGTTTTGACAAAAGAAGTGAAAATGTCAGGGGGAATTACATTAGAAAGAGATGCATTCAATATCATATGGACACATTTCTCACTGATACAAAGACATTAATGTTGATTTAATTAAGAAGATGCATTTATTAAAATGTATTTTTAGTTTGAGCCATTGAACTCAACAGCAATTTCTTGAAATGCCAGATTTGACATGAAAATAGCAATATGAAATTGATGGTTGTTGCAAAATGATACTTGTGATGACAACAATGTCCTTATTGCTTGATTTTTCCTTTAACAAGGGTTAGGGATGAGTACCGAGCCCCGGTATTAAACGGGCCCCGGGGCTGAATTATTAAAGACCGTGGTACCGTTAAGCTCCGACGTTATCGGTCTTTTTTATCGGTACTGGAGACATCTAAAAAACATGTATTATGTATTATTGCTACACAAACATTATATTGCAGTTTTAGTGTCGCCAACTCCGTTTCCGTTTCAATAAGACTGCAAAATGCGTCTACGATTATTTTTAGTATTTTTGATCCTTTCAATCCAGACGAGAGATCTCTCTCCCCCGTCTGTGTGCGAGGGGGCGGGGCAGTTTACACACACGCGGCTGCTACATGCAGCAACACACACGGAGGAGATGGCGAGGAGAACTAAGCGTTCTAAGGTATGGTTAAACTTTACCCGTCTCCATGTGGACAATGCTCGTTACCAAAAGTGCAATAAGAGTTTAGCATGTAAGGGCGGTAACACGAGCAGTTTGTCTAAACATTTAGCAAAAGTGCACCACATCCAGGCGGAGAAATGCACCGACTGTCTTTCTAGTAGCTCTGTAGCCCCATCCACGAGTAACGTTTCCACGTCAGGTGTTATGTATGCTAGCAGCATCACACGGAGCTAACTCAATGATACAAACATGGGTTAATGATTAGAGGTAACCGAGTTATTTATTTTGTTAAAGTTTCAGCCTTTCTGTTTACAGTTCTGTCATCACATTATTTAATATGATTTGTTAAAACATTGTTGTTTCTTTTGATGTGAAATATTATGTATTTAATTTAAATAAAAAGCAATGTTAGTTTTGTTCACAACTTGTTTAGTTAGTTTACCTTATTTTTTCTTCAAAAGAACCGATAAGAGTACCGTTAAAAGACCGGATCGATAAGCGGTATCGATAAAAGTAGTAGTACTGTTAAAACCTTAACGATACCCATCCCTAACAAGGGTCATGAAAAAGTGTTTGAGACACCTACCCTTGGGGGTGTTTCTCTCTCATCCTTGTCTTCGTCACACTCGAAGGCCACTTGAGCTCGGTGCTTGCGTTGTTCCTCCCAGAGAGCTGGATTGAAGCTTTCAGAGTCAGAGCTGGGAATGTCTACAAATAAAAGAAGAAACAAGGAAGAGGAGGATAAGGTGTTAGTTTTTAATGTAATGTTTTGTATCATCATTTATACATGTCTGACTTTGACCACATGGTGGCGCAAAGACTGCATGAGGCAAAACATTAGAGAGCTGTGGAGAAACTTCAAATTCAGGAGTTAACCCTTTCAACTCAAACCATTCAATCATGAAGTATTGATACATGGAATTGTTGTTGTGTTAAACGGACAAAAAAGCTAAAAGATCAAAAGCACAACATTAAACATTATTGCCAAAATGAAATTATGAAAAATGTGTCACTCTTAAAGCAGACAAATGATTGTTAAACATTACTCTGCAAAAAATATGCCAACAATTTAATGAAAAATGTCACTAGAATGATGGGTCACTTCTTCACTGTCACGTTTGTAAGACTCCTGTGTGAAGGGAGAACACAGCACAGGATGTCTAAGAAAAGATATATATGTGATTGTGGTTATGATGATCTGTGAACTCTGCAGCAGAATCAATGTTGGTGATCTGCCCTCTCACGTGTCTCTAAGTCTTATCGCAAATTAAATAACAAATTTGTAATCTGACCAGAATCTCATCCATTTTTTTCATCCAAGAAAGAATTGATATCATACTATATGATTAAAACTGTCATTTAAGCTTTCAGGTGGAATAGATGGCACTATAAAAGTCCAAATCAAGAACTCTTGTTTCTGAAATTGTTGAGACTACACCAGAGTGTGAATGCACAGTGGATAATGTGAGTCACCTGGTGTGTGGCCGTCATATTGACAAGTTTTAAAACAATTATCGCAGTCAGGTCAAGACTTTTTCCAGCCTTTCAGGAAACACGAGGAAACAGATGAAAGCTCTTTTGGAAAATTCCCAGTTGATTAGCGTGGAAAATGGCGTGAAGCAGATGGCTCTGAGATATCAAACAGAGAACAGGACCTGCATGCAGTTACTTGAGCGGGGTATTTTCTGCTGGTGCACCACATCACTGACATTGTTTCAAAAATCCAGCAGCTGACTCACTGCCATTTTGTAGTTCAAGCGTATAGATCTTAAACCACTAATTACTCCAATGTTAAGACCAGCGGGGTCAGCGCAGGCTGTCCCGTGTCATCGGAAACCAAACCAAACTAACAGATGCTGTTTCTGCATTGACTGCAGCTTTAGTCTCGAGTAACAAGGTCCCTCATGAAATATGAAAACAAGAATCCTTGCCGGCCACTTATAAGATAGCTACGAGACAATTAGACTTACAAAACCACTTATTTTCCTGACTTTTCATTCTGGGTATAGACTATCAATTCCTACAAATTATCCTGAGAAAGTGCTCTTATTAGTCATACAAGAACAGTTCATTTGTGTAATTGCCTAGTAGTACTGAATACATCTTAAATATCTAGCTAAAAAGTGAAAAAAGGTCAAATATTTGCAGATTAAATTTCTCTTAAGTTTTTTCATGATTATTCTCTTTGAATGGACAGTACTCACATTCCTCCGTCCTGGTTTGCTGGGGGAACATGTAGTTGGTCAGCACAGTTTTGTGTGTCTCTGGATCCTCCTCTTTCTGGAGCGGGATCAGGGGCTTCGACTGTGGGAGACAAAAAGTAGGTTTGAGTGTGCTATCTGCTATCAACAGTGCTACACACAGAGTCCTGATGTCTCTCTGCGCCTCCCTTTGGCATTGGAAATGAACTTGGCTGTAACATTGGTACTTGATTAAACTCAAATTAGAGAACACATGGGGGGAAACACATCATAAGATGCACCAATTAGGAAATGAATATGGTTCAACTACTTTCCCACAGGTCTTTGCAGCAGAGTTCCTCCCTTTAATCTTCTCCAAACCACCCACTGTCCTTGCTTTGATTGAAATAATACTTAAACACCTCTGAGTGCCTCTTCCTGTCAACCATCCCTTGATAAAGCTGGCTTAAGCTCCATCAATGTCCCCTTGACCCAATCACCATCGCTGCACCTGCCCAAGAGAATCCCTGTATCTCAAAACTGCTGTGCTGGCTGAAAAATCTCTCCTTGATGTTATTTCTGCAAAACTGCACTCCTCAATAAGTAAGTAAATCTCATTTATAAACATGCAGTACCTTTATCGTGTCAGTGTTCTACAAGTCAATTAAGGAAAATTACATTTTTGATTTACAAACAAAACATGAAGAAACAACATTAAATGCATGTTTCCTCAGGGAAAAAGCTTAATCACCATTGGTCCACAGAGCTTTGGTCATATGACCTTGGAGTCCTGTCTCTATCTCTATGTGTGATCAATAAATCAGTCGGGTTGGTAAATCAGGTGTTATTGGATCATTACAGATATATATCAGGATTGGCATCTATTTCATTATACAGGGAATTGAGGTACAGATATGCTCAAGACTAGTTTATTATGCAATTTATTTATGAATAAATTACTGCCTTTAAAGTTCTCTATTGGCTGGTTTCTTGTTAAGAAATGTACAAGGGTCACAGTGTGATTGATTGTAGAGAGATGTGTAAATGATAAGAAAGTTCTCACAATGTTTTCTGCTTTTAAAAGGCCAAGGACAACTTTAAGACACATTCTTTTATTGACAATATGTTGAGTCAATTAAACAGACAATTAAATTGTCTAGTAGCGATGAAACAAAGGCTGAATTATTTATTAGAATGCGGTGAGTCAACAGACTATCATTTAGAAGTATGTAAAAGCTGGAGCAAGCAAACACAATGAATCAATATACTCCCGCAGCATCTTCTCCTACAGTACTTTTTGCCTTTGCATACATTAAAACGCCTCCGATAAGCTGGAAACGAGTCGTTCAAGAATTCCTTTCCCACACAAAGCTACACTGCTATGACAAAACGAGACAGTCCCTTCCTGACACACAAGCTGAGCGGACTCAAACATTTCCACCTCTGATAGGCTTATCTTGTGTCCTGTGCAGGGCCACATTATCCAAGGCAGACGTCCAAGCTTCAAGCAACACAACTTCTTCAGTGACCTTGATCGCTCTACATCTGCTTCACCTCCGGCTAGTTGCTGCTGCATTTTCTCACAAACGGTTTCCCTGTCATTCTAGTCTCAGTAACGACACTGTTTGACAGGCATGCCTAGATGACCATACTGTTGTCTTTCAACAGGTAATCATGTAAGCGTAACATCTTCTGACATTCATTAGGATCCCACCAGCACTTTAAAAATGTAGTATTTACGGTTTCTCTGTCTAACCTGCACTGCCATTTGGCCCGATCAAATGTCCTGGAAGTGGTGTACTGAATTTGCAATGTGTTTTCCTTGGCCTCATTGGATTCATTTACAGCTGAATAAGGTGGCGAGTAACCTACCACTACTGTATCAGCTTTATACTTGTGATTCATATTTAATTTATATAATATTACCTGGTTTTCAGACAGCCACATTGCAGTCATCTGGTTCAGTTTAGTGAAACTGTAGGGAAGATTCTTCAACCTGCAGAGGAACAGAAACCACACAGGTACTCAGTCGTCTTGCATCAACAACAATGCATGAGCAAAAGTTACAAATGACTGCCATATGAAGTGTGTGAGGTCATTTTAATGTGTGACGGCCCACTGTAAAGATAGGCTTAAGCCGATTTTTCGTGACAAATGTAATGTCAGTGCTTTGGGATTGTGGCCAAAGTTATTCAGTGTATTTGGCACAGAGCAGACTCAAGGCATGGAAAACCCCTGATTAAAACTATATTGAGGCCTTAGCTTCCTAACCATCCCAATTTCATTATGGCCAGAATAAAGATTATTTCATCATGGTGTGGTAATTATTATTATATGTTTCAGAAAGTGGGTGTGTAAGTGTGAGATCAAACTGAAGACTGTCAGTCAGGACTCACTTGTTGTTACTGAGATTGATGACCTTGAGCTTCTGCATGTCACCCATTTCCTCAGGCAAGGACTCCAGCTTGTTGGAATGTAGGAACAGCACAGTTGCATTCTTCCAGCTGCCCATCTGCGAGGGGAACAAACCGAGGATTCAGAGACGTTAGCCAACAAGGCTGGCTGTTACAGATGAGCAGACTGGCCTCTCACACCATTTAACACATCTCTATTCTCCACCAACACACACGTTCTTCTATACTGTAATGTGCATAATCACCTCGGGGGGGAGTAGGGTAAGGAAGTTGTGATCTGCAGCGAAGGTGCGGATGCTGACACATTGACCGATGGTAGAGGGCAACGCTTCGATCTCATTGAAGCTGCAGTCCAGCTCATCCAGAGAGTGCAGTCTGATGCAGAGGAGGGTAGTCAGACGTTAATCAATTGATGTCATTATTATATACAGCACTTTATTATGTTAAATCTTGGTTAAAGAACATAGATTTAGTAGTGTTCCTATAAATAATTGGAAGACTTGAAAGAGGCTTAAGATAAAAGATTAAAACTGAACCATTACAGGCAGATTGATCCTGACCTTAGGTCCTAGTCAGGGTTTCCGTTAGCCGGTAATTACCGGTTTTTAGCTGGTAACATTTATTAAAAACCGGTAAATTCAAAACCTGCCGGTCAAAATGTCCGGTAATAATTAGGGATGCTCCGATCGATCGGCTGCCGGTCATTATTGGCCGATATTCGCTCTTAATAGTTTGATCAGGAGAGCTGGATCTGATCGATATGGACATAAACGCGAGTGAAGTATAACCGGACGCGAGAGAGAGATCAGATCAGCTGCTCTGAGACACGCAGCTCTGCATAATCACCTGAAGCCCGGCCCTTTGTTTAGCGAGCTGCATGAGATACAGACGGGCTGTCAAGAGAGAGAGAGAGAGAGAGAGAGAGAGAGAGAGAGAGAGAGAGAGAGAGAGAGAGAGAGAGAGAGAGAGAGAGAGAGAGAGAGAGAGAGAGAGAGAGGAAAAGAGAGGATCCGTTTCTCCCGTGTTATTATTCAAAGTTAATGTGCATTTTTGAATAATGTACTTCATCTACTACAAGTAGTTTGTTTGAATGTAATAATAATGTTGTTTGTTGTTTGTGGAATCATTTATTGCAAAAAGAATCTGAAGTTTTCGATCTGTTACGATTATAAACTGAAGCAATATAAAAATGAGCCCCATTAACTGAGTTTTAAACATGAGCATATCCGGTCATAGTCCGGTAATTACCTGCTAACGGAAACTCTGCTACACAATTCATATTATTATTATTGAAACATGACCGGTAAGTTTCAAATTTGTCCGGTAAAATAAATTCTGTCCGGACATTTGACCGGCAAGGAAAAATCCTAGCGGAAACCCTGGTCCTAGTATGTGCCAACAATCCTGGATCCCAGAGTTCCCATAATGCAACTCAATTACATATTTTGAATAAACACTCCCTGCCTTTTAAACAAGGACATCTTTGAAACTCCACATCCCCAGTGTGTATTCACCACACCCATGCTAAGCTAACATAATAAAGCTTCCTCGGAAAGCTCCCTATAGAGCCCCAGTAGACATTATAAGACCACTTTCACAGGCTCATTACGTTTTATGACCAGTAAACTGAAATTCATGAGCAAACATCCGCAGAATGTCCCTTTAATTCTAATGCATCAAACTGTCAGTATAGATGTCATTACTGGGTAGCATGAGATTGTAAAATATTGCTTGATTGCCCTTCAAATATACTTTATACAAGATGGATGTATCTAACAGTGAAATAGATGTTTACAACAACACTGATGCATCTTAAAAGCTTAATGGGACTGAACCCATGTTGACACAGAAGAGCTGAGCAGCTGGGGCTTTCTGCTGAATGAAAAATGCAAATGCATCTGGGGATTCAGATGAATGCAAAAAAAGAGTCCGACTCGCAGGAGAGACACAGTGTATAAAACAATCCAACTCCAAAACACGGCATTCAACCCCTCCCTGTGGAGTATAAAACAGGGACAGACCACACTGTGCACAAACAGTGGAATGAATAAAAAACAGCTATGTATAACTGAAAAATTAATCAGCTTGCTTAAGATAAAATCCTTGCATGGGATTAAGCTAAACCATAGGCTTTGTCACATAATCTGTGTCAAATTACATGAGGAGAAATATTCTAACATATGGCATAATGGACAATGCTTGTTTGGAAACAATGGATGAAAAAAGGGACTGCATGAGTACTTGTCAGTCAATGTAGATGTATCTCTCTGGTGGATGGAGGAATGGACACAAAAAAATGGAGCCTAATCTTTGTGTTGGAACAAAAGGATTTGGATTATGTGGACCTGAGTCACTCTGCATCTGCTGCCTGCTGGGTTTACCTGTCTGCTGCACACAACATCAGCTGAGAACAGCTATGGCTGATTTAATCAGTATTGTGTTGGAGGGTCAATGAATTACTCCGTTTCCATAAATCCATACGGCAGACTCAATTATTGTCAATCATACTTCATAATCATGTCCGGTATCAAGTCATTCAATATGGTCAGCATTAGACCAAAACAAATAAAGCAGCAGAACACATTATGTTTAATGGGAATATCTGGTTTATCCAGACAGACGTTTTGTGCGATCAGCGGATGGCAGATGAAAACAGCCCATAATCTTCTGATATTAAAGCTATTGCTGTAATGCTCACCCTCCGACTGAGTCAGGCAGATACATCAGCTGGTTCTCATCCACTTTCAGTGCAGTCAGTTTCTTCAGTGAGCCTATTGTAGGAGGAAATGAGACAGAGAATTAGAGAGACGCATGCAGAAGCTCATGTCAGTTATTGATTATAGCTTGCTGTTGAAACCACATAGAGGAGGATCCATTACAGCGTGTAATTAGATTATTTCATACTGTCGTCAATACTATAATCCAGTGGTTCTCAACTGGTCAGGCCTCGGGACCCACTTTTGGGTCGCGACCCACCAGTTGAGAACCACTGCTATAATCAGTTAGTAGTAATGAACCCTGACTCTGTGCACCTGGACTTCGGATTTAATTAACTTGGTATTCAAATATGAATATTACTTTTTTCCCCAAGAGATGAAAGTAAGCAAGTCATTTCAAATATCCGCTTTGTTTCCTTTCAACACAAAAGTTGTATATACTCTTTCGCAGTGTCCATTCATCTATAAGGGATAACTAAAAATGAGAATAAAAAAAGACTCCATAGTACCAGAGGCCACCGTTTGAGTTATATTTGCATTACTTGTTTTTTTAAACATACTTTTGGCATCATTTTGTTTCTTTTTTTAAAACGTCACATTTTGTGTGACTATATTGTAACTGGGGAAATAGTAACTGCATCCTCTTCTGTGATAAAGTCCTAATGCATGACTTTTAAAAGTAGGTCCACTTTTAAAGTTATGAAAATGTATTTCAGCTAAGTCGTAAAAACACTGCAACATCATTTATGGTAACTAAATACAACACAGGAAGGGGTCCAAGAATGAAAAATATATTGGCAACAGCTACAAGAGTTGAGGTGTTTCATAATGGGTTCCCTTAAAATGAGTGGGTGTGTGTGCTGTTTTCTGTACCGATGGAGCCTGGCAGCTGTGTGAGGGCATTGTTTGAGAGCAGAAGGTCCTGCAGACTCTCACAGCCGCAGATCTGCTCGTCTACCATCTCCAGGTTGTTCTTTGACACATCCAGGTATACCAGCTGTTTGAGCATCCCTAGCATCTGGATTTAAAAAAAGGAGACAAACTATTAATGCAAATAATTGTCACCGATATGACATTATTCAAGAATTGGGCAAACAATTTGCTGTATTCAATTTTGGTTTATATTCCCTAAAGACGTCACTGCTTATAAAAGGCCAGACTGTGATTACAGATGATGTTGTTGAAATGCTGGCAGAATAAATAATGCTCTAATTATGACCCAGTTACCAACAAGCTGGTCATTTGGATGAAAAATGAATCTCATGTAACACAATTTGACTATAAAAAAACATCATTATAAATTAATGATGCTCCAGGGAAAATAATGACTTCACAGCTGCAGATGTTTGTTGTTATTATTGGGACATCTGCGAATCCAAAAGTCTTCATTGTCTTCTGTAAGATTTTCTGATAGTGTTCACCCAGCAAGAGAATCTTTTTAAACTGCGGCTCCTTCTCTGCTGGTTTTCAGAGGGCTCAAAGTCTGATGCAAACTGACTGGGGTTCATTTTGATGAAGATTTAGGCAGACACATAGATTGAAAAAAAAAAAAAAGAGGAATAATCTCAAGGTGACGTCTCGGGGCACAGCAGCCTCTGAAAGTGTGCATAGGATTGACTGTAAATTATACCCCAGGTAAAAATGTCAGTCTGTTCCCGTCTATCCACAGCTCCTTGATTCCAGTCAGCTGCTCCAACACCTCAGGCTGCAGATTTAAAGAGAAAAAGGGAGGTTAAGTGTTGGACACGTTTAATGGTGTGCTCATTACCAAGCTAAAAACAAACCCTGAGGCAAGTTATTCATTCCACAGTGACTATTATGTATTGATTAATTACTATCTTCAATTGAATACAAAGAAAGAATGATGGCCTGTGTGGGACATTTTAGCCTTTGCAGACCATTTGGTGCACAACAACCTATATAACACACTACAGGAGAGGGAAAACCCTGAAAAGCATAATATGACCACTTTATTAAATGAAGGAGAAGGAAAGGGAATGGATTATGTAAGGAGGAGATGTCAGCAGCAGTAAGGTAGAAACCCATGGGCATGGACAGGCAGACTGACAGATACTCACCACTTCAGTGAACTCATTACTCCCCAGGTCCAACCGCTCCAGCTGTGTGAGCTTCTGCATGCTCCTGTACACACAGGGACAGACAGGGAGAAAGATCTTAAAATCAATGGGAAAATCAGCCAGGATTATGAGCAATGCGCTTCAAAAAGGAAGCCAAAAGAAAAGGATTAATCTTTCATATTTCATGCTATGTTTTGGATAGCATACATGCTCTGCTCATGCTCCTTTCACTGAATAATTTTATGAGAGAATAAATACATTTTACAGCTCGGGCTTGACACAAAATATGCTTTAAATAATGGAAAATGTTACGTATGCTAGCCCTAAGCCTCGCTCCAGAGTTTTCTCTCCACATTCAGGTCACATTCACTCTCACATTCTCTGCTACACTGTAAACAACAGATACAAACCAGGACTACTTACAGTCGTTGCTTTATTTAGCCGATTACCAGTGACAGAAAACTTGGGGGTTAAATGCTGTTTTTTTCAAATTCCAAGCATAAATAGTGAATAAGAATAATTCTCCCATTTCTCAAATCTACTGACAAAATGGCTTTTAACCCCCAATAGCAACTGCAAATAGTAACTATCGCAGAGCATACATAACATACTTTAAATAGATGTCACAACAGTACATAACAAAGGTCAAATTCTTTCAAAGAAAGTACGAGTTCAAGATTTGCAAGAGTTGTTTCACTTTCTCTGAGCTAGTCATAAAACTTGAGTCAAGAGTTTAAATTGTGTAGTACTGTAATTCTGGCATGATCAATTATAGTGTAACACAAATCAAATTTAGGCAAGAGCAACAAAGACTTACGGAAAATCTGAAGTTCAACAAAATAATCCCCCCTACTAACAAAAGCGAAAGACCATGAAATGGAGATGTACCAAGTTGTGTTTGGGAACAGATATGATGATCCCTTCACAGCAGGGATTAACTGTGTTAAACACAAGTGAGATTGAGCAGAGGAATGGAAAGCAGAGGCCCACCAACACTACTGTGGAGTCTGTTTTTAGGCGTTTCTCATACGTACATACGGCACAAATTATAAATGTGATTTAAGCCGTTTGGTGATTTCTCTTTAACTACAATATGAAAACATTAATCATGTTGATGTTCTTGAGCATTAGCCAGCTTTTCCAATTTCTTACTTCAACGTTGGCAAGAACACCAGAGCCCTCCATGTGTTCTGAAAGGAGTAAGAATGAGCTGTGCTGGCTCATCTAAAGGGTGAGTTCACTAGCAATAAAAAAAACACACTTTGGCTGATGACCCCAAGTTGTGAGGAACACAGCCATCAGTCTTTACAATACAGAGGAGCGTATGGTTTATGCCTGAGCTTGGTGTGTGTGAGAGAAAAGAGGCTGCACTTTCTATGTGGAAGCCCTGAAAAGCCTTCTCCTGCCCCCCTTTTGTGCACGCACACATTGTTTACATCTCTGAAATGCTTGTGTGTTGCTCTGGCAACCTTCCCGACCATTAGTCCTTTTCTTTGTCAGGGCTCCAGCCTTTAACAGGTCTGGCCTCTGTCACATAAACACAGCGAGGAGAGAGGATCCGCTCTGAGCTGCAGCACTCTACACACTGGCTGGCCCGTCAGTCAGTGAAAAATAAGAAGGGGAAAGTCAGTGAGATAACAAAGGAAACTAAGCCAGGGGGGGGAAAGGAAAAAAAAGGCAAATGGGGAAAAATACAGTTCTGCTGAGAAAATGGGACGGACTTGAAATGGAATGATACGCCAAGTGAAGCATGAGAGGAGACAGAAAAAGAAAGTAACTTCCCCTACAATCACCTGGAGCTTTCGATATTCGTGGGACATTTACTCTCCCAGCGGCACTGTAACCTTCTCAAACGGTGAAATAACCCTCACAACTGTCTCGGTGGAGGATTATAAAACCTGCCCCAGCAAGCAGCCTAAAGGGGCGGTTATGCAACACCGTGGAATTGAATGCTTCAGTTAGAAGTATGGGGAGGGAATCTACTGTAAAATAAAAAGGAGAGGAAGGATGGAGGACACTGCAGAGACATTCCCAGGGTTGGAAGAAGAAGAAGAAGAAGAAAGCGAGGAATTCTTGCCACGCTTAACGAAACATACTTGACTCTTCGAGAGTCTCCTTTATTTCGTAAATAGAATGAACACTGTATATTTGGTGTTAGGAAAATGTGAAGTGCAAAACCACTTACTTTGGCAACATCTTTAACTGGTTCTCTCTCAGCTCCAGGATCTGTAGTTTAGTCAACCTGCAACCAAGTGAAAAATAAACATGTAACGTTAATTTCTACAACAACACTTAATATTTCAAAGACAATGTCTAACTTCTAATTTTCATACCTGTTTCACATGGAATTGTATCTTTTTTAAGTTTGCAAATATACTTTTGTCTATGGTTACAGCATGAGTAAGTTCCAACTCAGTCATGCTTAGTTAAAAAAGATTCTCCATAACCTACAGAAGCCACAATGTACTCCTATTAACCAGCCATAATGTGCATCTACATGACAAAGTGTTTTGTAATTATTTCAGAATTAAGCTTATCAAACAAAAAGCAAACATGTATTTAAGAGGAAAAGTGGAGGATAAGAGGATATAAGGCAAACAGAAAGCAACTCACACCCTATGTTTTGTGTAATCAGAACATTAATCCCTAATGTGTTAACTACAAACAGTAAGAGCAATACTGATGCTGCTGGTTTAATGAAACAAACTTTACGTAAAAAATGTACATGACGTGTACAAACCAGTAATATGTGTTTTATTTTGTTAAATCAAAAGGTGTTATTATTTGAAAGCCAAAAATCCTGTGAAACCCAAATGGTTGGTTATTTATACGTCCAGTAATAACTTAGCAACATTATCACTGATTTCTTGTTTCTGGTAATAATTTGATGAACCATTTCAATATTTACTTATAGCTCCATCTTTGGGCTCTACTCCTGAGGGATACTGCTCTTTAGCCGCTAAATGCTCCATTATGCTAGCCAGCTAGTTTCCATCAGTGTCTGCCGTTTGGTGAAAACACTAGGAAATACACAACGGAGAGCTAAACTATTCTTTGTAGGTTCAGTAATATTAGAGTCCCCTTTCACATCGTCTAATTATTTTTGGTCATTGTCATTGCACAAGATATAAACTTAATACCACAGTCATCAACCAGAGTTTTTCTTCTGATCTAATCTGGGGACCATACTGACCTGCCAAAGCTGGCGGGTAAGAACTCCAGGAAGGCATCATTCAGGTAGAGCTGCGTCAGACTCAGGAGCTGGGTGAACCCGTCTGGGAGCCTGACAACGCAATCAGGAAAAGGAATCACATCCCTCACACAAAGCTGCTGCAATGCCAGGATACCAAACATAGACTAACATACAACTAACATGTTAATTCAGCTTTAAAGACTGCAACATTTGGCAGTACTCACTTGGATATAGGGTTCACACTGGCTTCTACAATAGTTAGGACTTTACAATTTTTGATGTTTTCTGGAAACTCCTGGATACCTAGGGAGAAATGGTAAAGGTTTAAAGGTACACAATCCTTAATTAAACATCTGCATGTTGCATCTCAACCATTTCATTACCACTGAGACAAAACATATTACTCCTGTCAAAACGGAAAGGATGAGGGATATCGCCACACATGTTAAGTAAGAAAAGCTTTGGGAATGTTAAACACAGATACATTGTGAGTACAAGCAGGAAGGCTCTCTGTCTGAAATGTGAGCTTGAAGATACATTAAGAGTGGCTCTGCACCTTTCCTCTCTAAACAACCACGAGCGCTCAAGATGACAATATGAAAAATCAGAAAAGGAAGAAGGAGAAAGAAATCACTGAATTAGTCTGCAATTTCTCATGAAGCATCTACAATGTGAGAACTGAGGGAAAAGGGACGTGACCGGGACCAAGGGATTATTTCCATCCACTTTGTTTTGTGTCCTCAACACTTAGAGAGTGCTTTGTGAAGAAGGATAAGCTACTTTTAATGTCAACATGGCACATGCAGCTCTGGATCATGAAAACACCACCACATCCTTCAACATTTGTTTAATCTTGGTCGTCTCTGCACTCATTTATTTATGTAAGAACTACCTTTTGAACCTTTCTCTTTTCATGAAAGGGTTTCTGCTGAGCATGCTCACTAGTTTGCTGCTCTGCTGAGCTTCAAGGTTATATAGTGATGATCAACCCTTTTATGCATTTACCTGAAGTGTTAGATCTTTCTTTTAGCTTACAGAAATCAATGATTTGAGAATCACAAAGATAATGACAGACAGTTATGTTAATCTTGCTTTACTGACAATATGTTTGAAGCAAAACCTGTGTGAAATGTGCAACAGGATGTACCAAAGAAAAAAAGTGACATTTTAAAATAGCACAATCACCCGATTGATTCTACGTGCAGCTGGGCAGAACAGAGAACTGTCAAGCCTTCAGACACTTTGGTCTGCAGCTGTTTCTTTTTCTAAATGTCAGACTTGAACAACATTGACAGCGGAAAGATTTCATCAAACAAACAAAATAGAAAGTACTTCTAGTACAAAGCTCTCCCTTGGTGCGAATGTTTATCTTTAAAGAGGTGAAGTTGCACTCTGTCACTTCCCACACTATGAAACCACTGACAACACACTTAGAGCCGGTTCACACATAAACTGAGAATTATCTGCACAAGGTGCTATTCTCTAAGGAGCTTTATCTAGCTTTGCTTTTCTTCGTGCTACTACTCCCTACTGTACAGATAGTGAAAAGTATACAGCAGGTCTGGGCTTGCTTCCTTTAGCAATCACGTAAGGGGGTTTCAGTCACGCACTCTTGTGACGTAACATCTGGTAAATGCATGCTGTGGCATTTTACCTCTAATCTAAACATTTGATCAATGATGCAACTCATTCCTGGTAATGATCTCCTCTTTTCTTTCTTTCATTAATGGTTTAGGTTGCAGTTACCTTAACACTACAGCTGGGAAAGTTCCACATTTGAACTTCACAGGTCACTGAACCAGTGTGGTCACCTTCCAGCAACAGGATCTCTCGCCACATGACTTATTTAACCTGCCAGTCATAAACTTGGAATCTTAAAACAAAAAGTAACACATATCATTTTGCTTACTGTTTTTGCTGACATCAAGCTCCCGGAGATTGATGAGGTTTGCGATCGCTGCTGGCAACACTGTCAGGTCATTATCCGGCATGCTCAGTCGGTGCAGTATCTGGCAGTTAAACAGTTGCTGGTGGAGAAAGAGAAGAGATAACACAGTTTTCATCAAAACATACACTCTATTAGATGTTTATTTTTCATAAAAGTTCAAATGCGCCTTTCAAAGGCTCTTCTGTCTAAATGAATATGAATGACGTAGAGTGCGAACAAAGCAAGCTCCTCATAAGAGATAAACTCTTTATGCATGCAGCGAATCATTATTTAGTGGCCTCGTGAGTTATGCAGATGTTGAAGATGGCCTACATGGAGAAATATAAAGTTTCTATACATCAGTGTGTGCTTACTTTAGGCAGTTCCTCGATCTGGTTGGCATCGAGGTAGAGTTCCTGCAGGGTCTTCTCAAAGCTAAAGATCTCCTTAGGAACAGTCTCCAGGCTGCAGTGGGAGTAGTCAAGCGATGTTACCGCCTCCTCCTCACCCCGCAAGCAGCGGCATGGCACCAGACGAACAAACAGGCTCCGCTTCGACATCCTCAGGCACTGGACAGGGAAAACAGAGAGATATGTAAAGAGAGGAGAGGATTAGGAGGAATGGTAGGTCAGTGTTTCCCCTAGGTGTACTGCCTTGGCAGGGTGAATTCAAAAGAAAATTTGAATTTCTTGTTTTTATCGATAACGGCTTGAGGTTAAAAAATAATAATAAACAAATTTGAAACTGGGGGGGGGGCACAAACGGGCAGAGCCCCGCCCTTCAGAAACAGAGCGGAGGGAGAATGTGAATACGCAAAGCAGTGGACACTGAAACATGCACATACATTGGATAAATAACATAGGCGTTTAGTTTATTTAATAAAAGAGCACATGTTCAATGTGAAAAGTGACCGTAGATAGATTACTTCAGTTGCAATTTGGTGCTATATATATATATATATATTTGTTTTTTTAATTAAAAAAAAATTAAAAAACACCTTGAATTTCAGGCAGGGCGCAGCGCCCCGCCAAGACAATGGTAGGGGAAACACTGTAGGTATACGACTGATGCTACCTTCACACTTCAGCTTTAAGTGTCAAGGTTCAGATGTTTTCCCCCATCCCTTCTTTGCTATACAAATGTATGTTTCAGTGCTGTGTAAAAACATGCATGCACATGTTGATCTTTATATCTGATCTAAACCATGATCATGTGACTTAACTGTCAGAACACAATTCAAATGTTCTCTTTCCACAGAACAGATCGTTGTCAGTAGCCTGCTTCAGAAAACTCATGGGAAATATTAGCTCAAGCTATGATGGGAAAGAAAATGATGAGATCACAAGTGCCTCCAGTCAATCAACATACATGGGGATGTCATCGTTTATTGATAACAAACGCATGAGCCGGCCAAAACAGAATGTGGCGGCCTGAGTTAACAACACAAACAACACAAATACACAAAAGGGGTAAAAAATCTCCAGGCCTGCGACATCTTTGAAGTTATGTATTCTTGATTCAGTTTTACAACTGATCAGTAACCCATTATGAGAGAGCAAGGGGCAACATTAAGATGAAGAGCTAAAGCAGGGGTGTCAAACTCAATTTCATCGCGGGCCACATTATAATTATGGTTGCACTCAAATATATATAGAATATATATATATAAAATAATGTATTATTTTACAATATTTCCTCTGCATTGGATTATTATCGGATAGGGTAATAACTTAATAATTAACTACGTCTGAAAGAAGAAGTCTGGGGCAAATAATTGCAAGTAATTGCAAGTCTCTTCACTGCGCATCTCGCAAAATTAGATGCATTGTGGGACATGTAGTTGATGGGCAACGTGCTCCTGTAAAGCGGCACGTAACCTTATAATAAACGTACTATATTCTTTGCAAGCTCTTGTGGGGCCACATAAAATGAAGTGGCGGGCCGGATTTGGCCCCCGGGCCTTGAGTTTGACACCCCTGAGCTAAAGCAACACGTGGCCTGAAAAAGGGATCTGATCCAACAGCTGTGACATCATGGGAACACATCACTAAAACCTCCAGTCCTTCTTTGAAAAGGGACATTTCAGTATTTGTCAACTTTAGTTTGGGTCTCTTATTTTTGTCTATGACTATTAGCAGTGGCGGCGCCAGGGTATGGCTGGGGTAGGCTACAGCCATACCAAGAAATGGCTTAGCCCCACCTTAGCCCCACCATGAAAAATGACGTTAAAGTAAGCTAAATAAAGTCCGCCAACTCGCGGAGTAAATTGCACAGACAGCAGTTAGTAAGATTGATTTCAGTAGCCACTTGTCTGGAAATACCGAAGACTAGAAACGGTTTTGAAAACTTTTGTCACGTAGTGATCGTCTTCTCAATAAAAACATCTTTGATAATGTCTTCTGGCCAATCAGAATCACGATAACGGCGTGGTGTTGTTGCAGGAAGTCCCGACGGAGAATACTTTTGCTGTAGTACACCTCTATATACACATCGATACAACATTACGTGTTGATAGAAATCAACACGTAATGAAATAAGACCCCACGGTTTGATGATTGATAGGTGTGTGGGCTGTCTTTCATTTTGACACACAGAACAATGGGGGCTATCCACCCTTATCCACAATGTAAAGTAATTCACACAGCCTCTTCCCTCTTCTCTCTGTGAGGAGCAGCAGGTTCAGCTTTCAGAACAAAGTAACAAAAAACAAAAATGGCATTCATTTTTTTAAATATGTCGTGTAATAATAGATTTATTTATTTTTCTTCTCAAGAGAGTACCAGAATGTGTATTTTATGTTAGTATTTCAAAAAATATCCTGGGGGAGAAACCCCCAGACCCCCCTGCAGGAGTTGGGTTTTCAGCATGACAACTCTTTCACCTGTGAGGAAATTGCAGGATTGGCTCCAGGTCGCCCTTTTTATTTACTACAAGACAAATGTGCCTTTTTATTTCATACAGTTCAATTTGGATTGAGACAGGGAAATTCCGGTGTGAACTCGCCTATTGTATCATTTGAAATACGCTCTACCTACAACACTATCTGGTTTGTTTCAACATGAAAAGGGATTTCCTGGGAACTACTTTCTGTGTTTACTGTCAGTGTTTAAGTGGTGGGTTTCTAATCAAATCCAGTTTCCTGGAAAGCTGTAGGAGGCCTGTGCCCCTTGCCCTGATGAACTCTGTTTTGCCGAAAGCTGGGTCTTCCTAATCAATGGATGTGAGTATACTGTCATAATGGACAAAAATGTTTGAATAACTCTTAGTTTGACAAATACTGGAGTTAACCTTTAATACAACATTGCTGTTTTAAATAACAGCAGTGTTTCCCCTACCACTTAAAATGAAAGCGTTTAGTTTATTTAATAAAAGAGCACATGTGAAAAGTGACAGATATAGATTAGTTGCAATTTGGTGCTATATATATATATATATATATATAAAAAAAAATTATATATATTTTTTAAACACCTTGAATTTCGCGCGGATCCCCGCCAACGGAGCCCCGCGCGAAATTCAAGGTGTTTAAAAAATATATATAATTTTTTTTTTAATATATATACATATATATATATATATATATATATATAGCACCAAATTGCAACTAATCTATATCTGTGACTTTTCACATGTGCTCTTTTATTAAATAAACTAAACGCTTTCATTTTAAGTTGTGAGTTTAGTGTTTTTGACCCTAAGAAACACTGATGCATTAATCAATAACAATAATCCACAGCTCCTCTCTCTGCTCCAGAGGATTTGAAAAATATATATCCCAATGCCCCTCCCCGCTCAGGCAGCACCCCCCAAAGCAGTAAACCTAGGGGAAACACTGAACAGGTTCTACTGTCTCATTTCAGGGAACTGCTCCTATGAATGGATATCCACTACAGAATCAGGTCTAAAAGAGAGCACGTGTGAGCCATGTCTTTCCATCAGTTTCAGTGCATGTATAATAGCTTTTCAGTGCAGAGCCACTTCTGCAGAAGGACCTTTCAAAACCGCCATGGGAGGAATTGTGTTCACTGTTAAATATGTTCTCAAATTGTTCTTGCGATTAATATCTGATCACTGACAAAAAAACTCACCACAATTGATTGCAAATATAAAAATAACCGTCATATGAATAGCACCTCCTTTTTAAGGTATAGCTGAAAAGATAAGAAGCCTGACATGTGTTGTACATTTTCAGTTTCGCATTTCTGTTTTTCAAGTGGGAAAACACTTCAAATTTCCATAGTTATAAAGTATGAGAAGTGGTTCATATTTGTGAGTATGCCATTTCCTCATTTGGGTTGAAGCTGATGAGAAAACGTTGTACTTTAGTAGTTTTATCCAAAACAAATAAATACATATTTGTCAAAGCCAGAAAATCTTTTTAGCTTTCAATCTGTTGGGGGAGTTTAGGGGATGGTTGGGCAGCTGTTCTTGAACTTGTTATATGGATGTATGTATAAGTTTTATAGCTTGAGATAAACACTGACGTTTTTACTAGTACAGTTCCCTATGGAATGTGTTCTTGTCAACAGAGGCTTTGTTCCTTGGAGCATGTGGAGAATGTGACTCTGCCTCCCCCCGTCTTAATCTGAGTGCGGCTGCAGCACATAATCTCTGATTCCTCCAGTCCCAGAGTATCCTGACTGTCTGAGCTGCACAATTGTGATAGCCTTGACCTACACGGTTAGTGCAGAGTGTGTGTGGGTGGGTGTGACCACATGTTTATGTTAGAGGTTGCTACAAGGAACTATGCAAGTGCTTATTTTCTGAGAATGTTGGTTAACAGAATACAAACCTTTGTTTTGTCAACAGTTTTTGTGGGGCAGACATGTTTTTTTGTTTACACAGTTCAGTGTAGGTGTGATTTTTGGAGCAACTCAAAATATGATTTATCATCATTAGTCGTGTTACTAAAAAATGAAATAAAAAGTTCAAAAAATGTACACTCAATTTCACAATAATGGATCAGGGTTTCAAAAAGAAACATTCCAAAGTGGACTCAAAGACTTCCAACTCATAAAAAATGGGTGCATGTGTGCATACGCCCACACTCACATGAGGTATGCACAAGCTAGGAGGTTGTCAGCCTCCCACACACTTTTTGCTATAACAGCAGGCAGATCATGTATAAATACTCGGAGTAATCTGGTCTATCACCGGAGGGGATGACAGAGGGCTTGGCTCCATTCAACCCGAGTAACAAACACTGAACATATGGATGACGCATGCTATTCAGAGTTGGAGGACAGGGAGGCTTGGGAAGGAGAGGTGGGTTAACAGAGGAAGGGGGTAGGTGCAGGTTATTGTGAGGTATGCAAGAAAAAGCTATCAAGAAGAAAGAGCAGATAAAGTGTCAGGAGAACATTTGGGGGAGAGATTTATATGGTTTGAAAGATTAACAAAAAGTCGGCAAATCAAGAAGGATGAGTCTGGATCTGGTGAACAGTTTAAAGCTGGTACACGAATTTAATCTCACACTTTAAGGATGCATTCTAAATGACTTCTTATTTAACATCTTATAATAATAAATGACCACAAAATCCAAAGGTTGGACCACACTGATCAACATGGC